CAACAATACTACAGCGAGAATAAAAGTTACGCCGCCTTTCTTTGCGTGAACATTTGGGCGGCGTTATGCTAATCTTCCCACATGTAGTAGACATGTGGGGGTGTGTTAGAACGAGCCGTTTTAGGTAGGTGTGGCTGACTTAACTTTTATAAAGAATATCTCTTTGGATTTGAGACTTTAGTCTTTGCAAATTTACAGATCTTCTTTATGCACCAAGAGCTTGTAACACTCCAAAGAGAAAGGAAAAATTGAAATCGCATCATATGACCCCTTTAAGTGATCACCATGTTTATGAAATAAACGGCTTATGAATTTTAACAAACAATTTGTAAAGCGACACTCTCCACTTTTCCGGACTAACCGAAACTTGATTTTGTGACTTATCCGGACACTAAATTCCGCCTCCACAGTTTCTCAGAACAATAAAACTAAGCCTTGTCGATCTATGCCAAGAGAAATTAATGTTAAAATGTGGGCGTAATGATGAAAATGCCAAACACCATATATCTGATTATCCTTAAATAATCTTTCAAAGCTTTTGCTGCTCGATCTTATACAACCGAACCAATACTGAGAGCAATGGCACCATGGGAAAAAATAACAATTATTAATTTATATCAAAATAAGAAGGCTTTTGCATTAAGACGTGTTGGTTATGTAGGTGGAGTCGTGTTCATGGGCCAAGAACTGTTGCATGAAAATAGGACAATGGCATCGGAATAAAAGGGCAAGTACAGTCAAAGACTGGTGCATGACTGTCCTGCAGCCGTTACAGGACTCCATCAACCAAAACCGACACGTCACACTACAAGCACACTGAACTACAGACATTTAGCAGACACACCAAAGCTGGGTAAAATCAGTTATAAAATGAATTTGATCATTTTATATTTAATGGCATGACCTTGACCTTGGGTAAAGATAGAAACATTAAACCATGTACTATCGCTTTGGATCAACTTGGTCTGGATAATCCAGGGAAAAATGGTCAAATTTAGTGCATTTTAATATGTTTGAGTGTTAAAGTCTGACTTGGTTATGCTAGTCTTGTGTGGTATTTATTAAAAGTATACATGCATGTATATTATATATTATAATATATTAAGAAAGAATGTATATATATATATATATATATATAGTTATAGTTCTTGGCCAGAATAAACTAGTCATTCTTTAATTCATTCATTGATTCAATAAACTGCTATTTTCTAAATAGATCCTTTATAAAATGTACCTTATGTACGTAATTTATCAAATTTATACTATATGTGTGCATGTATAAAAATGCATAGGTTTTATTTTATATATATATATATATATATATACACACACACACACACACACACAAATTCAAATTTTAATCTACAAAATATAAAAATACAATTAATCTATACATACATATAAAAAAATATTTATACAAGTGTGTATAATATATATAATAAACTGCAAATTTCAAACCTGATTGAAGTATGTATATTACATATTATGCCAAATAAATAAATATCTGGCCATTTTCAAATAGTAATTATGAGCTGGATTAGACAAGGTATTTTCTAAACAGGTACTTTATTGATGTCTGACGTTTACAGAGAGGTCAATTATTTAAGTGAGATACAGGAACATTTCAAGAGGAATGCAATTATGTCACATTTCAGCTCCACTGCATGCTGTACCATAGTAAACACGGTAACCTTTACATTCTATCATTTGAAGGCAAATGAAATGAGACAAATCGACAAATTAATACAAAAACCAAACAAACATTTTCTATTTCATCTCCTATTTTGAAAATGGCACCACGGTTGACTTTAGATTTCAGTTGTGTGTTGAACAGTTTAAATCGAGCGTAATTTTGCATTTTAGCAGTGTAGTAAACTCATGAGGTACTGTGAACACTGAATTACAACATACTATAAATAAACTCTAAAATAAAAAAAACTAAAGAGTCAGTGTGCAGGAATGACGTCAAAAAAATACTGAATATGAATAAAACAATATCTGAGGACGTCCCTGACATGAAATCCTGAACGAAATGATGACCTAGAAATACAAACGCTTCAATGAGTCGATTCATCTGACCTTTTTTGACTTTTGAATTAACGTAACAAACACACACTGTAATATGCAACACACTATCGCTGTGACCTTACGGCTGTTGTTGAATTCATCTGATAAATAACCGCAAACGACAATATAAGAATCTTAATGATTCAAAAGTAAAGATTCATATGATTCTTCCAAGTAAAGATTCATATGATTCTTCCGAGTAAAGATTCGTATGATTCTTCTAAGTAAAGATTCGTATGATTCTTCTAAGTAAAGATTCATATGATTCTAATAAGTAAAGATTCATATGATTCTTCTAAGTAAAGATTCATATGATTCTTCTAAGTAAAGATTCATATAATTATAATAACAAGTAAATATTCATATGATTCTTCTAAGTAAAGATTCATATGATTCTTCTAAGTAAAGATTCATATGATTCTTCTAAGTAAAGATTCATATGATTCTTCTAAGTAAAGATTTATATGATTCTAATAACAAGTAAAGATTCATAAGATTCACATGTTCTGGAGAGTTTCGTAAGATTCAATATAGGAAGATTTGGACAAAATCTAAATAACACGGTGTGAAAGATTCAATTCCAATCCATAAGTCATAAGATCTGACGTGTATTTGTTTGAAATGATTGGAAGCACTAGTGTGTTGTGAATACTGCAGATGAGTGTGGAGCCTCTACATACAGCAGAAAGAGAGCCAGACAGAGACGCTTCCTTGACCCATGATCCTCTAGGCTAATTCTTCACGTTTACTGAGTCCGCAGCTGATAGTCTGCAAAGAAAGAAGGAAATGAGCGAGGCTTAATTAAATGCACAGAACGACAGGAAACAGGAAAAAATGGAAATACGGGGGGAAAGTTAATTGTGACAGCTGAACTTTCTCTCTCCACCCATCAAAACACAATCAAAAACTCCATCAGTCAATAAGATTGAGACATAAGTTCACAAAATGAACAGAAATGATGGGTATAAAACAGATGCTGGATGCAGTCGTGATAAAATACGCAGCACTCATAGAGGAAGACAGCTAACCGGAGTTTACACGAGTGTAGAAAATTTAGCAACAATTTTGCAATATGAGCACTTGGTACATGGCTTTTAATTTCATGTCATTAGACTAGAGAGCATCAAGACAAAGAGGGTTTAATAGTGTTTCTGATTTAAACGGCAGTAGTAAAAACTGTTCATTTCACTTCTGTGAACCACTTCAAACTGGCCGTTTTAATGAAACCACTTAAAAAAAATGTATGTCAAAAATTTCTGTAAACATAGCACAAAAACAAATATTTCTTTATATAAATGACGATGTCTTTATTATTGTGTTTATTTAGATAAAAAATTAAAACATGCCTTCATAATTTTAACTATTTTAACTTTTTATTTTGTAATTTATTATTTTTAATATTTAATTAGCTACAGACAAAAACCTTTCAGAGCAAATACAAATGATAGAAAGATTTAACTTTTTATTTGTAATTATTGTTATAATTTATCTTTATTATTTACAATGACTGCTGGGTTAAAATTATGGTCCTCGTGATTGGAAAAAATACTTTCATTGCAAATACAGAAAAAGAAAAAGGCAACAACAAAATATTATATATAGGTGGAATTTGTGGAGAAATACCTACATTAAAAAAAAAAAAAAAGAGTTCTTTAATATACAATTAAAAAAATGCATAAAAATACAACTCTGACTACTAAAATATATGTGAAACATATTTAGGCTTTGCTCTCAGTTGTAACGTGACACACAGTGTCAAAGTTCAAGATGCGAAATCAGAGAAAGAAAATCTCCTACAACATCATGTACCACACACTCTAATTTTATCGGGGTTTCACCATCTCGCACGCGTCTGTCCTGAACATCCTCTTTTCACAGAACAATTTCACCTCCGCATTTAACACTAATCTCCCATCATTCTGCACTGCACTGCAGGTATTTGGCAACAATTAAGCAACGCTGTGAAAAACAATGACAAAAATAGAGAAAGAGAGAAGAGAGGATGAGAGAGTGTTTTACCTCCGTTCTGGGTGATGTATCGCACCCACGGCAGGGCCTGATAGCCGCTCTTCTCAATGATCTTCAGGTAACGCACCTGTCAAAACACACACCGTCACTGTCATACATGCAATGCATTGTGGGTGAATTCATTTAGCCAAACCTGCGAAAGGCCTACAACACAACGGAAATAAATAACAACCCATTCAAAGAATGCAAAGCAATAATGAGTAAATTATACTTTTCCAATGCACAATGCATATTTACAGTGCAAAGATGGCTAAAAAGATAAACAATAAAAATGATTGCATTTTTGTATGCAACAAAAAAAAAAGGCTTTGAACAAACCCAACCAAGAATGTTTGAGGAATATCAAGCAATGGCAAAAGCATCCCAGGCTTGTGATATCTACACATCATTTAGCGTTAGCTTCATGTCAGGTCCACGTGGGCATCCGAGGGTAAATCTGAGCGCATGGGCAACGCAGCCTGGGAAAGTGGCAGAGTTTGACACCGCGGGCGGAAGCGCATGAAGAAGTGAGATTGGGGAAATGGCACCTTTCAGTGCCGAACGCTATTGAGTCACTCGTTGTGTTCATACGGGCCTTGCATCACTACACAAGCTTTTGCACAACTGCTCCAAACATGCTGAAAGAGCACAATCACGTTTTGTAACAGGCCACAGATAAACCGGATACTCAGAATTAGAGGTGAAAAGTGTTGTTTTTGCCCATGTTACAATACGGTTTCGCCAGTTCAGAGTTTTATGTTGGTTTCTAATCGGCTCAGTTCCCCTGTGTTTTAGTGTATTTTGCTTCTATATTAAACAACACGACTATTGGGTAGAAATTATGGTTTCTGTGATTGGGGAAAAAAATCATTTCAGAGCAAATACATAATCAAGATCAAAAGATTATAATACAAATTGTAATAAATTATTTTTGTATTAATTTTTTAACAACTAAAAGAACTGCCGAAAATTGTATTGTAAAAAAAATATATAACTAATCAAGATGATAAAAATAGGGGGGGTTGTTTGGTTCCTGTGATTAGAAAAAATAATTTCAGAGCAAACGCATAATCAAGATTATAATACAGATTATAATAATGCATTTTAATTGATTTTTTATAACTAAAATATTACCAAATATATGTAAATATACACACGTATATAATAATACTTATCTAAAAAATGTGTGTAATTATAATTGTTGTAATTGATAACTCTAGTGCTAAACATAATACATATACACACACACATAATTGGTATAAAATATATATAAATAGTATAACATATAATCAGCTACAATAATAATATTATACCTTGTAATTGATTATTATAATACTAAAATATTAATAAAGAATAATAACAATTATATACCATAATGACTTATTATAATAATTTTTATATACCTTTTAAAATATACCAAAAAACTAGTACAAGAACTCCAAATCTGGCTCAATCACTGATTTATGTACTATCTGTTTGACAGAACAACAAAAGCATGGGTGGAAGGGGCGGTAGGAGTGTTTGGGTTTTTTTTTTTTTTTTGGAAACTCTTTATTTTTGCAATTCCATTTGATGTCTCTAGTCACCTTTAAACGTCTCCCGAGAGCAGGGTGGACATTTAAGACATGAGTAATTACAGTCCTCCTGTCCAGCAGCTCTGTGTTTGTTGATTTTGCCGAGCGTTTGTTCTAATCGTGGACTCTATTCTCTCAGAAAACCTCCCTGTCTAAATGCACAAAAATAGCCGACGTAAGACGCAAAATAGGCTTACACGGAACGAGAGATGTATTCTAGGTATCAATGCAGATTTAAAAAGCACGAGGACAGCCCTGTGCGCGCACGTTTCGGGAGGCATTTTGGGAATCCTGGCGTCCGTGGGCCGGTAATGTGCCACTCTTGGGTGCAGCTCACACAAACTTACCAGGCCACCATCGGCGTCCACCCTGGCGGGCACGACGAGACGGCCAGACTGTAAAGGTCTAAATGCTGCCGTGCGCCGCTCGTTTTGTGTAAATGTAGCGACTCTGTCTTGTCAGGTTGCGTTTAAGTCATGCTCTGGTCAGCCCTTGGTGAACTCCAGTGTATATTTGCAGCTGGATGGAGTCCAGCGTAGGCAGTGCTGAGATGTGCGTGGTCACCGGTCTCTCATTAGCATGCGGCGTGAGCTCACGGTCAGACAGGCAGGCAGACGCACACAAACATACACAGCCGCTGACTCAGCTCTTTACATGCATCATGCCTTCACTATGTAAACAAGCAAACAAAATATACAGCAGGGATTTTCCTGAAGGACAGTGTTTCAGGGTTTTTAGAATGATAATGAGATGGAAAAACATGCATCATGACGAATATTTAAATTCAAATATAATAACGAGAAAAAAACACTCCAGAATAAAGTAATGATGGCACACTGCTGTTTAAAAGTTTGAAGTCAGTAAGATTTTTTTTTTTTTTTTGAAAGAAATTAATAAATTTTATTGAGCAAGGATGCATTAAAGGGTTAGTTCACCCAAAAATTAAAATTAGCCCATAAATTACTCACCCTCAAGTCATCCTAGGTGTATATGACTTTCTTCTTTCAGACGAATCCAGTCGGAGTTATATTAAAAATGGTCTTTGATCTTTCAAGCTGTTTAATGCCACTCAGCGGGTGTTGCATGCATCAGTCCAAAAGAAGTTAAATAAAAAGTGCCCATCCATAAAAATAAAAAAAAGTGTCTCACACGGCTCCGGGGGGTGAACAAAGGCCTCCTGTAGCGAATCGATGCGTTTTTGTAAGAAAAATATCCATATTCAAAACGTAATAATCACTTTAATGTAGCTTGTGCCAACAGTTGTACACGGAAGCAGCTCCAGGCGGATGACGTATGGAGGTCGGCATTGCGCCGCTCAGAAGTGACGAACTTGGAAGCGCAGCGGAGAGATCAAAACAAAACAACGGTCACTAATTAGAAGTACAAAACGAGAATTTGTAAAGAAGAATGTCGGAGGATTTCGATATAAGCCAAGAGGAGACTGGTTTTCACGAGACTCACCGGCATGTGCAATGCCGACGTCTTACGTCATCCTCTCGAAGCTACTTCCGTGTACGACTGTTAGCGCAAGCTACATAAAAGTGATTATTACGTTTTGAATATGGATATTTTTCTTACAAAAAACGCATCGATTCGCTACAGGAGTGAAAGATCAAAGACCATTTTTAATATAACTCCTGACTGGATTCGTCTGAAAGAAGAAAGTCATATACACCTAGGATGACTTGAGGGTGAGTAATTTATGGGCTAATTTTCATTTTTGGGTGAACTAACCCTTTAAATTGATCAAAAGTGACAGTAAAGACATTTATAATGGTACAAAAGTTTTCTATTTCAAACAAATGCTGTTTTGAACTTTGTATTCATTAAAGGTTTGTATTCATTAAAGACTGAATATGATGCATCACAACACTACGGAGACCCGAGGAAAAGCAGGTATTAAAGTCCAAAACCTGACTTGAAATAACCTAACAAATCAATCGGGGCTAAAACGGGTCCATAAATGATAAATTAAGTTCCCACAATCTCACTAATTTGTGCACGCTTATTTTTAAGCAGCCCTTAAATGTCGATTATGGATCAAATCGATCCACCGTGGCAAACAGCGAATATATTTGTGCTGTTTGATGCATTTGAGACGTTGTGTTTTCCTCAGTGCATAACTGACATTTCACAAGTATATTTTTCATCTGTAACTGTTAGAAAGTCATGCAAACATATCTATTTTGCTGTCAGGAGTGGGCGAGGCTTACGCGAGTGAACGAGCGCTGCTGCTGGTGTGTTTGGGATCATTGTCCTGCTGCATAACCCAAGTGCGCTTGAGCTTGAGGTCACAAACTGGCGGTCTGACATTCTCCTTCAGGATTTTCTGATAGAGTGCAGAATTCATGGTTCCATCAATTATGGCAAGTCGTCCAGGTCCTGAAGCTGCAAAGCAGCCCCAGACCATCACACTACCACCACCATGTTTGACTGTTGCTATGATGTTCTTTTTATGAAATGCTGTGTTGGTTTTACGCCAGATGTAACGGGACACACACCTTTCCAAAAAGTTCTACTTTTGTCTCATCAGTCCACAGAATATTTGCCCAAAAGTCTTGGGGATAATCAAGATATTTTTTGGCAAATGTGAGACGAGCCTTTGTGTTCTTTTTGGTCAGCAATGGCTTTTGCCTTGGAGCTCTCCCATGGATGCCGTTTTTGACGTCTCTTGGATGTCTCTTTCTTATTGTTGAATCATGAACACTGACCTTAATTGAGGCAAGTGAGGCCTGCAGTTCTTTAGATGTTGTTCTGGGTTCTTTTATGACCTCCTGGATGAGTCGTCACTGCACTCTTAGAGTAATTTTGGTAGGCCGGCCGCTCCTGGGAAGATTCACCACTGTTCCAAGTTTTCTCCATTTGTGGATAATGGCTCTGACCGTGGTTCGCTGGAGTCCCAAAGCCTTAGAAATGGCTTTATAACCCTTTCCAGACTGATAGATGTCAGCTATTTTGTTTCTCATTTGTTCTTGAATTTCTTTAGATCGCGGCATGATGTGGCATGATTATGATCTGAATCTTTTAAGTGCGACGTATATGCAAAAAATTAAAAAACAGGAAGGGGGAAAAAACCTTTTCACGGCACTGTATATATATATATATATATATATATATTCTGATTAATCCCACCTAACATTAACGTTTTTATATATACTTTTATATTGCAATAATTTCACATTCAGTCTTCAAATTAATGTAGAAACATCATAAAGAAGGTATATTTTTAATATTTGTTCAATGGCATCTGAAGGTGAGTATCACTGATACCAATACTACTGATGTGTCTAGGAAATTCTTATTTTTTTCCTAATATTTAACCATTGACTATAGCCATTCAACATAACGCGGATCTGACACGCATGCTCATAGTTTCATTCGCGCTTTAATTTGAAAAGCATGTTACATATTCATATACATGAATATGTAACACACTATAATGCAATGTTTTGTCATTTTGCATATTATAGTCAACTAAAAATTTTATTTTCATTGATCTAAATTGCCATTTTAG